CACACTTAGGAATTACCTCTATGCCCCTTCTAGAATAAACATACATTATCCTAGGCTTAGTGACTTTTGGTAATAATAAATCAGCATTCGTATCATTACTCCCGCCTTCAAAAAAGTCTTGTCCTCAAGACTTGCATCCGGAAACTGACTTTGAATGGAAGAGAGGTCCCTGGAAACACCCCCCTCGATTTGACAGGAAGACTTGGGAACAAGAGGAGCTGCTTCATCAGAAGCTAACCAAGTTTGAAGGGAAGTAAGAGGCTGCTGAGGAAGAGTCAACCCTTGAATTAGAACAGATTCACCCCGATGCAGAAAACACATCCAAGACTTATCTCAGTTATGGGTTACCACGCCCAAGGTTTTCAACGATTCTATTCCCAAAACCACATCTAGATGCCCAGTATCAAACACCAACGCATTCACATTAAATGTACAGCCTCCTACTAGGATTGGAAGATTAACACAACGGCGAGTAACAAACACTTTATGACCATCTCCCAATTGTATGTTGATACCTCCAAACGATGTGTATGGAAGACCCAATGAGAGTACTAATTGTCGAGAAACAAAATTGTGAGTAGCCCCACTATCTACCAAAATCACTAGTATATTCCGTATCGATCCGTCCAATTTCAAAGTCTTACCCCCTGGTGCCTCTGAGGTAGCCCCAAAAAATTCCAAAGTTGTATACAACCCCTGCACAGGATGATCAGTTGGTTGATCAATCTGTGGTTGGTCTTCTTCTAATGTAAAGTGATTCCCCTCATCGACACCATACTCATCATCCCCTAATAGCATTACCCTTAACTTTCCCTCCGGGCATTTGTGACCAGGACTAAACTGTTGGCCACAACGAAAACATAAACCCTTCTTAGGACGATCTTCCCATTCCGTTCGTGTAAGGGAGCTAATTCCCCGATCACGATGCAGAAGTTGAGCGACCTCCGAAGAAGCAGACCCCGATTGACGATTTGGAGAAGGAAGGTGATTAGAGTCATCACGAGACGGAAAAGCCCTATCGCTAGGTTTGGAAGATATGGGCCCTTTTGACTCAGTCCGGCCCATAAATGAAGAATGATCCATGTGTAGAGCAGACCCAAGCCCACCTTGTTGTTCGTAACGGAAACGGGATTGAGAGATGGTACCGGTAGTGGGTCGGAGCATTTCTTCCACATCCTTAGCCAAGTACATGGCATCTAACCTAGACTAAGGACGATGCAATCGTATCCAACGTTTGACTTCATCACGTAAACCAGCGATAAGTTACCCCAAAGCTTGGGACTCCGGCAATTTAGGAACTAAGGACAGCAAGTACTCAAAATCATCGATGTAATCGTAAATAGAAGAGGATTGCTTAATAGTCGCCAATTGTTCATACGGATTCTGGATTTCCAGACCGCTAAATCGTTGTAACAATTCAATTTGAAATTGGTCCCAGGTAATAGAATCATGAACTTGCCTAACAATTGTAAACCAATGTTGAGCAACCCCTACCATACTCAATTGAGCCAAACGAAGTCGRAGGGCAGGARGAGTACCGTTAATATCGAAATACAGGATTGCTTTCTGAATCCATCCTTGCGGATCGAACCCGTTAAACTCTGGCAATTTGATCTTCTTGACAGCCTATGGAAGGCCATCGGTGGTTGTAGGCGGAATCGGACCCCCACCCCACGACCATTCACCATTGTCAGGAGACCCAAAAGGTGGATCGATGGTGCCAGAGAACCCACTGGAATCCCCCAGCTGAGGTTTTCCTTGTTGTTTCACTCACGCCATCATTACTTTGCGAAATTCGCTGGACTCAACTTGATCAGCCTCCAAAATCTGAATTGCCGACTTGATTTCCACCACATCGGACTGTAAGCGCTGAATAATTTCCTCGTGTTGCTCAAAACGAGATTGAATGGAACGTGTTTCCATCGGAATTTTGGAAAAGAGGTTGGAAAACAAGAGAAATGGCAGGTTAACGGCAGGTCGTCGGCAGGTCGGACCAATGATAGAGAACCGAAAACTGAAAACAGAGTAGTAATGAACAGTAGATGAAATGGAGAAGAAATAGGAAATTTGTATTAATGAAGAAACAAGAGCCAAACGATTCCAGGGAAACT